CAACGGTACATCAACAAGAACTACTGGAGAATTAAGTCAGATTCAGAAGAGGATGTGAAACTAGGGATAGCATTGATGACGTTAGATGGATGTTGACTGAAAGGACTGTATACCAGAAATACGTTTACTTGTGCTTTATTGCCTATGCAAAGGCTTTCATCTGTGTGGATCATGCATGATAAGCTATAGATAGCATTGCAAAGAATACTCATTCCAGAACTCTTAATTGAACTCATGAGGAAACTGTACATAGACCAAGAGGCAGTCATTAGAACAGAACAAGGGAATACTGAATGCCTTAAAATCAGGAATGTTGTGTGCTGGTGTTGTATCCTTCCACCATACTTATTCAATCTGTGTGCTGAGTAAATATTCCAAGTAGCTGAAGTATTTCAAGAACTGTGGCATAATGATGGAGGAATACTCACTAACAATATGCAATTATGCAGATGTTACAACCTTTCTTGCTGGAAGGGAAGAGAACTTAAAATATTTACTGAGGAAGATCAAAGACTACAGTCTTCAGTATGGATTGTACCTCAATGTAAAGAAAACAAAAATTGTCACAACTGGATCAATAAATAACATCATGATAAATGGGGAAAAGATGGAAGTTGTTAAAGTCTTCATTTTGTTAGAATTCAGTCATCACTCATGGAAGCTGCAGTCAAGAAATAAAATGATGTATTTCATTAGGCAAACCTGCTGCATAAGACCTCCTTAAAGTATTAAAGATCAAAAATGTATTTCAAAGTTAAGGTGAGCCTGACCCAAGTCAAGGTATTTTCAATAGTCTTATATGCCTGTGGAAGTTGGACAATGAATATGGAAGACCACAGAAGAATTGATGCATTTGAGTTATGGTGTTGGAGAAGAAAATTAAAATATTTTTTGTTAAAAGAACAAAAAAAATCTTTGTTGGAAGAAGTACAACCAGAATGCTCCTAATAAGTCAGGATGGTGAGATTTCATCTCTCATATTTCAGAGATGTTGTCAGGAAGGACCAGTCCCTGTAGAAGGACATCATGTTTGGTAAAGTCTCGGAGGGTCAGCAACAAAGAGGAAGACACCCAAGGACATGTATTTGGCACAGTAACAGCAACTATGGCTCAGGTGTAGCAACAGTTGTCAGGCCGGACCGGACGTCCTATATTCTGTTGTGTAGAGGCTACTCCATGGCACCTAACAACAACACCAGCAACATTAGCATATAATACACATATAGTTTAATGATAGCAAGACAAATATATATTTGGAATTTGTAAAACTGAGTACAGTTGTTTCTGTATATCTATTTTAAAGATAATGTAAATGTAATAGCAGGAGTCCTGGTGTGGTGCTGTAGGATAAGCACTGGACAAAAAGGTTGGTTTTAACTTCAAGTTCAAATCCACCAGCCACTCCTCAGAAACCCTATACAGCATCACTATGAGTCAGAACTGACTCGACAGCACTTAACAACAGCAATTGTAATAGTAGGTGTCTTATTCACTAAAATATCTTTGAATAATTTTGCTGTATTTGAGAAGTGTTGTGAGCAGCTTTTCTCTTTTTGATAATTAGAAATTGCTGATTGCTTTAGAGGAATAATCCAAAAAAATCTTTATGGATTTCATGAGAAGTTGCAAATCCAATTTATTTTAGGGAATGTATTACCTAAACACAGGCCCTCCCTCAACTCCTTGTTAAACAGAATTGGGTAAACTATATTTACTTAAATAATTGCTTCCTAGCATTTTCACTATAGGGCATACATTTCCTTGAAGAATATATAAAGGGGTTAGGAATGAGGGTGTGAGAAGTGGACTTAGTTAATTCCAGATCTGAGCCAGGCTGTCAGAGTGCTTTATTCATTTTAAACCATGCTTCTCTCTTCTCACTGCTTTACTAAAGAGCTGTGACTCACTCCAAGGAGCACAGAAAGCACTGGCAAAATTGTAGCCATCACTTTCCAGGCCATTTCATTTTGACATTTCGTTATGAGGCAAAGATTTAAGTCTGTCAGGAACAGAAGAGGCAATTCAAGAGTGATTGAAGATACTTAACCCAAAGTGCTTCTAAACAAACAAGTTCATTTTGAACAAAAACATTCAGAAAGGGCTCCATTTTGCTCTTATTTACAAAATACATCTCCAGTCCCTGTGTGGCACATAGAATAACTGCACAGGATTTCTATCTATGGAGAGAAAGAGAGGATGCTTTGGGTATTTCTCACCTCATTCCACCTCATCCCACCCCACCCCACCTTTTCAATAGACTTTCTTACTTCATCAAACTGAATGACTTCTCTTCAGCTAGTGAGGTTTCTCCATTGCTTCTGTTGGTGTTAGTGCTGTTGAGTCCGTTCTGACACTCATGACAGTCCTATGGTATTGCTGGGCATTCATTACACAGCTCCACAAGGTTTTCAAGGTTGGGACCTTTTGGCAGCAGATTACAGACTTTTCTTCTGAAGCGCCTCTGAGTTGATTTGAATGGCCAGCTTTTCAGCTAGTAGTTGAGCATTTTCCCATTTACACGAGTCAGGGGCTCCATCAGCTGTTCCTCTTTCTAGGACGAAGATTTAAAATGGTCACGCATCACAATACTGCCCACTTGTTATTGTGTTCTCATTAACAAATCCCCCTTCTTTATTTTAATAATCTGGATTTCCATCTGGAGATCTATGTGGAGTGAGAATTCCAGCCATTATTCACTAAACCAATCAACATAGTCTGTCTCTTGCCCCCTCCCTCCTTTCCTTTTGTTGTTGTTAAGTGCAGTCCAGTTGATTCTGACTCATAGTTTCTAAGGAGCAGCTGGTGGGTTTGAACCACCGACCTTGTGATTCAAACTGATCTTGAGGTCCAGTGCATTATCCTGCAGTGCCACACTGGTGTTAAGTGCCCTGGGGTCAGTTCATACTCATAGTGTAGTGACCTTATATTGGGTTTATGACTTTGTGGTCAGCAGTCCAGTGCTTGTCCTACACTGCCACACTAGGACCCCTCTCTTCTGAGGGGATTGGCTTAGGTGTTGGCGTATGTTTTCAGCAGGCCAGTTAACAACCTGAGACTTCTGGGTCAAAAATAAGCATCTCCTCCAGGGTGTGAACAAGGAGGATTTGGCCCCAGAAACTGTTAGCAGCTATTTTAAGAATCTGAGAGCAGACGGTGTTAGGTTGAAGTTGGTGGTAACATCACTGAGCTGCTGGAGTGATCTCAACCTCAGGTTAACAACAGCTCCCTGTTTTTGAGTTACACAAGCAGTGCTTTCCCTTCAAATACAGGATCCTGTGGGTTTCTGTCACTAACAACCAAACGTAGTCGTAGTCTTCATTGTTATCATTCTTTAGAGAGTTCAAGAATTCTGTGAAATAGCATGCTAAAATTATCATAGCTTTCTCAGTAACTTGTCCTTTGTAAGGGGTCTGGGGCTTGTTTACTTTGGATATAATACAAAACAAAACACACAGTGAAGGCATGCCTTTTTTTTTTTTTTTTTTTTTCTGGAAGGTCAGGGACTTAAAATATACTGATTTCATTTCTATTTTGTAAGTACTCCTAATAGAATAAGCACTGGACTGTAACCTCAAGGTTGACAGAACCGAATCCATGGCGCTTAACAAATGCTTAATCCGGATGAAGTCAGTACATCCAGATTATTCCCTACTCCTTTTCCTGAATGCGATGTTTTAAGAGAGGTGGCCAAATTTCCACTTCATAGCTAGCATGCAGGGACTTTGGTTCTTTAAGGAATCATTGTGGAATCTGAAAATCCATGATCCCAACAAGTTCACTCCCCATAGGAGTCCGCCCTAATCTTCCCAATGACACGGTGTAGTAGTAGTAATTAAGTGCTGTCAAGTCGGTTCCAACTCATAGTGGTCCTGTATATGGTTTCTGAGGAGCACCAGGTGGGTTTGAACCTCTAACTTTGCGGTTCGCAGTTTGGTGCAGATCCAGCAGTGCCACAGAAAGCAATACTCAAATCATGAAAGGCAGAGGTTCATCAGTATTTTTCTCTTTGCTTTTCCATCTGCTCTTCAGTCTTCTTTTCTCCCTTCTAAACATTTACCATTCTCTTCTATTTTTCACGTGCTTTCTTCTTTTCCTTCTCTTCCAACCTAAAACCCAGTCAAATAAATTCTGACCCATAGCGACCTTACAGGACCAGGCAGCACTGATTGCCTACGCTGTAACCATTTTGGAGGCAGACGGCTACATCTTTCTCTGGCAGAGCCGCGGTGGGTTCAAACTGCTAACTTTTCAATTAGCAGCTGAGTGCTTACCCATTGCACCCCTAGGACTTGTTTTCTCTTGCAACATACCCTTACCTAATTCCCTTCTTCCCATTCTTTATTTAACATGTAGTTGTTGTTAAGTGCCAAGTCACAGCCAAATCATAGCGACCCTGTAAATGGTTTCCGAGGAGTGGTTGGTGAGTTTGAATCAACAACCTTGCAGTTCAAACCAACCTTTTGGTCCTGTGCTTATCCTATAACACCACTAACCACAACACCTTATTTAATATTTAATATAAGATCTACCTGTTTACAAGATCATGCCCTTCTCATTATTCTTATTGGAAAGTTTGCTATCCCAGCCATAGTCTTTTGTGGCTGAATAACGGAGATAATTGTTGCAAGGTTGGTTTGCAACACAAGGTCAGAGGTTCAAACTCACCAGTCGCTCCTTGGAAGCCCTATACAGAGTCTCCATGAGTTGGAATCGACTCAACGTCACTTAACAATGACAATACGTATATTACCATAGGTAACCCAAGCAGTATGTAGTCAGCTACTAACCTAAAGGTTGGCAGTTCTGGTGATGTGCTTCTCTATGACTCTATTATCGCTCCTTTTCCATTTTGCTCACTTATTGTTAAGTGCTGTCAAGACAGTTCCACCTCATAGCGACTCTCTACAGGAGCTCCAGTCGGTTTGAACTGCCGACCTGTTTTACTCATTAGATGCAGATGAATTGAACTCAGATAATCCTCTCTGCTTGTCACTTTCTAGTTAAGACTCTGCAGTCACTGCCTGCAGATCAAACTTATCGTCCTCCTAGCCCAGTTGTACCTTCCTAAACATCTGGAAGTAAGCTCCTCCTTGTAGGCTCTTTTTGCTGTTCCCTTACTATGGAATATTGACTCCTCCCCTTCCTCATGCTCTTTGCTGGATCTGGAATTCCCTCACTCAGCATGTCTACTTATTTACAGTCTGTCCTTCTGTCAAGATCTAGCTCAAATTTCACCTCTTTCTAAAGTCCTCGGCTTTTATTCCAGGTCACAGTGAGCTTTCCATCTTTATCTTGTTGTTGTTGTTATGTGCCGTGGAGTCGGTTCCGACTCAGAGCGACCCTGCACAGGGTTTCCGAGGCTGTTGATCTTTACGGGAGCAGAACGCCTCATCTTTCTCCCGCGGAACCGCTGGTAGTTTTGAACTGCTGACCTTACGGTTCGCAGCCCAATTCGTAACCGCTACGCTACCAGAGCTCCTTTATCTTACATCCTTACATTTCCCATCTCTCCACGTGCATTATGAGCAGCATGAAGGGAGGCTCGGTGTTTGGTAGGATTTTTTTATTCACAATGCCTTTAAGTACTGATCTTTGAACAAATATCTACAAATGAAGAAAATACACAAGTAACAAAGTATTTAAGGAATTTCATGCATGTTTACATCTTAATGAGTTTTATTTGTAGATGTGTAAATGTTCCTGTAAGTGCCCAAAATAAATCTGTTATAAATAATATGCCTCATTATTTTCACTGTTTTGACATTAGAAGTATTAAGAAAACATCCTTAACATGAACATAGTTCAGTTTGTTTTTTTAAAAGCATCTATAAAAGTTCAGATTTATGAAGCCTATTTTCATTGGCATAAAAGCTTTTAATGCCATAGATATATATGTATGGCAGTATCTGGTATTTGATTTATCTTCTAAATATATCTTCAAATCATTCTCTCACCTTCAGTCTCTCCACTGCTCCTCAGTGTAGTTACTCATCATTGATTTTCTGGATGACTGCATTGGTTTCCAGATTGGTCTTTTTACCTTTGGTTTCATTCCCATCCACTCTATCCTTCACTTTGCCCCTAAAGGGAATTTTGTAAAGCAGAATTCTACCATAGTTTCCTCATTATACACACTTATGTATACACACAGTCATATACAATATTTCTGTGCCTCTCCATTTGCTTCCAAATGACATAGCAGAACACAGTCAGCTCTTGAAGATCTGCCCCCTTCCTGTCTCTGTCCCAGCCTAGCCCCAATTGAAATCACGTTCTTGCCACACTAATCTAGTACCCAACATTTCCTGAATGCTTTAGGTTGCAAGCACTTTTACCCTGTACTGTTGGTCTTTGCACAGTACATAGCACATTACTGGTGCCATATGTAGCCATGTAGAATAAGCATTGGACTACTAAGTGCAAGGTTGGTGGTTCAAACACACCAGCCACTTCCAGGAAACCCTATCCAAGATACCTGTGAGTCAGAATAGGTGGCACTTAACAACGATAAATGTTAAGTGAATAATAGGACAGGTGTTCCATAAAACAGACTCAGCTCCCTGTGCTTTCTGCCCTCTTCTCTGTTTCTTCAGGCATTTGACATGTCTCTCAACTGAAGTCTTTATAGTACTATAGTATCACTAGCCATTTCTATGTCTTTCTCACCATAGAGATTGTAATCTTCACAGAAAGTACAAAACATGTCTCATTCACCTTTGAATCCTCAATTTTATTGACTGAATGACAAATGAATGAATATGGATGATGTGGTACAGTAACAAATAATTTAAATAACCTAGCATTCTTGAAGCATCTTGATTTTATTTCAAATGAACTCCAGATACTGTATAAGCCTTTTGGGTACCACAGAAAAATTTCACAAATATTTATGATGCAACTGTAATCCCATTTATTTGTAAATGCTTAAGATAATTTGTTCCAAGAGCATATCGATGTCTATGAAATAGGACAGATCCAATCTTTACTGAAAGGACCCCTGGTGGCACAGTGGGTTGTGTTGGGCTGCTAAACACAAGGGTGGTGATTCAAACTTACCAACTACTCCTCAGGAGAAAGCTTTGACAGTCTGTTCCTATAAAGATTTACAGTCTCAGGAACCCTAGGAAGCAGTTCTGTTCTGTCCTATATTGTTTGACCAATTCTGACAATTGTCAGAATCAATTCTATGACAGTTTAATGGGTTTAATCTCTACCAATTAAGGTTTAATTAAGCAGTGCTTCTAAGAAAAGGTAACTTTTCTAATTGTTTGCAGGTTGAAATTTTTTTGTGAACAACTTTCCGCCAAATTTCTAAAAATACTGAAACTTTCACTCCTGCCATAATGAATTAAAGGACTCAATCCTCTTCCCCAAAATAAATTTAGAATGGGACATAGTAGGAAGCATAGGACAAAATGCACGAAGAAAAAGAAGTGAAGTGAGCCATACAATTGACTACCATGAAATCCAGCATCTATGACCTTTAAAATTTACATTTTAAAATTACCAGGCCTAGAAAAATCAAGACACACCAATGGCAGATGTTGGAAACAGCTGTTTAAGTATAGTAGAGTAGATGAAAGCATGAATACAATGATGAGAGAAACGAGTGATCCTAAAAATATTAAAATCAAACTGCTAGAAATGAAAATCCTGTATCTTAAGTGAAAACAATACACTTGATGGGATTAACAGAAGATTATTATTGTTAAGTGCCATGGAGTCATTTGTGACTCATAGCAACCCTATGAGAAGCAGCTGGTGAGTTTGAGCTGTAAAATAAAAGATGAAGAACCTTAATATAGCAATGGAAACTATACAAATGAAGTACATAGATGAAAAACTCCAGAAAACAAAACCGAACAGAGTATCAGTGACCTGTGAAACTGTACCACACAGTCTAATAGAGATGTCACTGGAAGACTCGATGATGAATTGGATCTGAGGGGTGAAGGACACAATTGAGTCTAGGATGACTCTCAGTGATTTGACGTGTTAGACCAAGCAGAGGCTAATGTACTCATTAGGATCTAGAGCCCAACAAGAGTTTGCTGAGGGGAGTTGAAAATATAGCAGAATTCCATTCATACTTTATCTGCTTTTTAGTTCTTATTTGTACTTGTCTACGAAAGTAGATAATAAACTAACACAGTAGCATATAGATGTAATTTATAAATGAATGAATACCAAAATACTATGGGGCATACTCAAATATTTCTATCAGGGGTGTAGGGTCAAAAATAGCCCCCTATATGACACAAACAATTAAGCACTCAACTGCTAATCAAGATTGGTAGTTCAAACCCATTCAGAGGCACCTTGGTAAAAAGACCTGGGGATCTACTTTAGGGAAATAAGCCATTGAAAACTCTACTGAGCATGGTTCTGTTTTGACACATATGGGGGTCACTGTGAGTTGCAATTGACTCAATGGCAGCTGTTTTTTCTTTCTTTGTTTTTTTATGGTAAAAAAAATTAGATGACTCCTGAAAGAAGGATTACAGAAAGTAGAGAAAATTCAGAGATTGTAGGGAATTTGAGGGCCCTCTAGAGCATTCAGCAGTAATATCCAGTGGGCAATAAATGTCTAGACCCATGCAGGACTGCCCAATAGAACTTCTGTGATAACGGAAATATTCTATATGTATATACTATCCACTATTTTAGCCAGTAGCTACATGTAGCTGTTGACCATTTAAAATGTGGCTAATGCAACTGGGGAGTCCTGGTGTGACTCTGTGGGTTAATGCGCCAGACTGCAAAGCCATTTGAACTGCAAGGTCAGCAGTTCAATCTCACCAGTTGCTCCTCCGAAACCCTTTACGGGGTCATTATGGATTGGAGCTGACTCAACAGCACTTAACAACAACAACAATGCAACTGGGGAACTGAAAAATTTCACTTTATTTATTAAATTTAAATAGCCACATGTAGCAAAAGGCTACTATATTGGAAAGCACAGATCTAAAATGTAGTGAAGGGATCTGGGATTCTCATTTGTTGAGTAATTCCACTAGGTAAGCATTTTACATATATTGCTAAACAACTTAATCATCCCAAATAGCCTATGGTGTTGTTACCTACTGTGGAGTCCATTTCTAATTCATAGCAACCCTCTGTGACAGAGGAGAGCTGCCCAATAGGGCATTTTAGATTGTAATCTTCACAGGAGCAGATTGGCTATCTTTCTACTGACGTTGGGTGGGTTTGAACTGTCAACCTTTGGTTAGCAACTGAACCAATAGGGCTCCTTCCCTAGGGAGTTGTTATTGTTAACTGTAGTCTCGTCATTTCTGACTGTATAGTGATCCTGTATAGGGTTTCTGAGGAGCAGCTGGTGGGTTTAAACTGCCAACATTGTGGGTCGCAGTCCAGTGCTGATCCTACAGCACCACACCAGGCGTCCCTATGGAGTAAGTGATGTTATCAAAGAAGTTCTTACTCTTTCCTTTTCAGAGTAAAACATTATATTGCAAAGAAAAGCATATTGCTATGCAATATATTCCTTTCTAGTTGTTTTCTGTTGCTGCTGCTGCATGACATTAAATTGGTCCTGACTAAATTGTCAAGACTGCAAATCTTTATGGGAGCAGAAAACAACCTCATCTTTCTCCTGCAGATCGGCTGGTGGACTCAAACTGCTGACCTTGTGGTTTGCAGCTCAATGCATGACCGACTATGCTTCCAGGGCTCCTATTTTCTGTTGTTGTTGTTGTTGTTGTTGTTGCAAAGTTATATCAAGTCAGTTCCGACTCAAAGTGACCCTGTATAGGATTTCCAAAGTGTGTCTGGTGGGTTTGAACAACCAATCTTGAGGTTAGCAGCCTAGTACTTATCCTATAATGCTGCATGAGGACTCCCTAGTTTCTGTTAGTAGATACTTTAGTTTTTGCAACCAAATAACTTTCATATTTTTCTTTCAGGTGGCTGGCTCTACTTGAGATTCAAGTTTTTATTATTTTAATACTTTATAAATATGACTGTAGTCTTCTGGATCCATTGCCTAAACAGGTAAGTGTTTTCAGAATTTTAAATATCATGATGATTCTTGAATTTGGCATATATTCAAATCCCTTAGTTTATGTTGCTGGAGACAAGCTGAGTAATCCTCATTTAGGCCTGATTTTAACGAGTACCTTACATTGAGCCAGACTGAGGAGATACTTTGTTCTTGTTAAGTGTAGTCCATTCAGTTCTGACGCATAGCAACCTGTGTAGAGTTTTTGAGAAGGTTTGGTTCATATCAACTTGTGTAGGATTTTTGAGTAGGTTTGAACTGCTGACTTTGTGTGCTGATCCTACATTGCCACACCAATCTTCTTAATTCAAAGGTCTAATCTACATGCCTCATTGCCAAATGACCAGAGGAACCCTGGTGGCGTAGTGGATAAGTCTTGTGTTGCTACCTGCTAGGTTGGTGGTTCAATTCCACCAGCTTCTCTGTGGGAGAAAGCTGTGACAGACTGCTTCCATAAAGATTGTTGTTATTTTTGTTAAATGCTGTTGAATCTGTTCCGTCTCATAGGGACCCGGTATAGGGTTTCCGAGGAGCAGCTAGTGGGTTTGAATCATTGACCTTGCAGTCCAGTGCTTATCCTACAGCACCACAACAAGACTACATAAAGCTTACAGTCTCAGAAGCCCTAAGGGGTAGTTTTATTCTTCCAGTATCCTCATTTATCGATGGGGCACAACTCAAAATGAAAAGAAACATCTGTAACTCTCCATTAATAATCAGAATGTGGAATGTATGAAATATAAATCTAGGAAATTTTTGTGATCAAAAATGAAATGGAACACACAAAGATCAATATCTTGGGCATTAGTGAGCTGAAATGGACTGATTTTGGCCATTGTGAATCAGACTATCATAGGGTTTGCTTTGCTAAGAACAGCAAACTGAAATGGAATGGTGTCACATTCATCATCAAAAACAGCATTTCAAGATCTGTCTTGAAGTACAATGCTATCTGTAATAGAATAATATCCACCCACTTGCCAGGAAAACCAGTTAATACTGTTATTATTCAAATTTATAAATCATAAAACATAACACAACCACAAAAGCCAGTGTTGATGAAATGGAAAAAATTCTACCAACTTCTTCAGTCTGAAATTGATCAAACAAGCAATCAAGATGCATTGAAAATTACTGGTAACTGGAATACAAGAGTTGGAAACAAAGAGGAAGGATTAGTAGTTAGTTATAAAATATGGTCTTATTAATGGAATCAGTGCTGGAGATCACATATAGAATTCCGTAAGACCAATGACTTTCATTACAAATACCTTTTTTCAACAGCATCCCATGGGCCTCACCAGATGGAATACACAGGAATCAAATAAATTACATCTATGGTAAAAGACATTGTAGAAACCCAATGTATGTCATATGCTATTGAGTTGGTTCTGAATCATAGCAACCCTGTTTCTGAGGCTGTAAATCTTTATGGGAGCAGAAAGCCTCATCTTTCTACTACAGTACAGGTGGTAAATTTGAACTGATGACCTTGTAGTTAGCAGCCCTACTTGTAACCCACTATGCTATCAGGGCACTCTGGAGAAGCTCAATATCATCAGACAAAACAAGTTTGGGACAAACTACAGAAAAGAACATCAATTGCTCATCTGTAAGTTCAGGCTGAAGCTAAAGAAAATTCAAACAAATCCATGAGATTGAACATATAGGAACTGAGTGTATCTCACCTAAATTTAGAGACCATCTCAAAAGCAAATTTGATGTCTTAGACACTAATGACCAAGACCAGAAGAGTTGTGGTATGACATGAAAAACATCATACATTAAGAAAGCAAAAGGACATTAATGAGTCAGGAAAGAAATAAAAAGCCAAAATGGAAGTCATTTAAACTTTTGAAACTTGCTTTTGAGCAAAGATAGAAAAGCTAAAACCAAGAAATGATGAAGTAAAAGACTTGAACAGAACATTTCAAAAGGCAGCTCAAGAAGACAAAGAATTACAATGAAATATGTGCAAAGACCTAGAAAGAATTCAAGCTTTGGGTTTCAATATCAAAAGAGTCCATGTGCAAAATTTTGAATGACTCAGCATTAAAAGAAGATAGAAGGAATATACTATGCCAAAAGAATTGGTCAATGTCCAATCATTTCAAGAGGTACAATATGGTCAGGAACTAACGGCCCTGAAGGAAGAAGTCCAAGCTGCACTGAAGGTATTGGCAAAAAAACAGGTCTCCAGGAATTGATGGACTACAAATTGCAATGTTTCTACAAACCGATACAGCACTGGAGTTCTCACTCCTCTATGCCTTGTAATTTGGAAGACAACTTCCTGCTCAACTGATTGGAAGAGATCCAAATTTGTGCCCATTCCAAAGAGAGGTGACCCAATTGAATGCGAAAATAATCAATGTCATTAATATCAGATGCAAATGAAATTTTGCTGAAGTACATTGTAAAGTTTGCAGCAGTACATTGTAAGGGAGCTGCCAGAAATTCAACTGTTTACATAAGAAGACATGTCACAAGGCATTTCATTGCCGACACCAGATAGATCTTGGCTAAAAGCAGAGAATACCTAGAGATGTTTACTTATGCTTTATTGACTATGCAAAGGCTTTTTTACTGGGTGGACTATGACAAATTGTGGATAACATTGAGAAGAGTGGGTATTACATACTTAATTGTGTTCCTGAGGAACTTGTACATAGATTAAGAGGCAGTTGATCCAACAGAACAAGGGGATACTGAAAGATTTAAAATGAGGAAAGGTCTTGGGCAGGGCAGGCTTGTAGTGTATACCCTATGGTTGGTTGATGATGCATGGAGGGGATTAAAACCATAGCAATGAAAC